TCCTTGCGTTTGTTCTCGGTGGCCTGCAGCATCTTTTCCTTCCACAGGTTGAAGAAGTACGATGGGTCGGTGTAGAACTTCAGACCAGCCTTCTTGTCGTCCCTGCAGACACAACAACAAAAACTCTGAGTTTAAATTACCTGCAAGTAATTTAAACTCTTCCGCCTACAACCTGCAGGACATTGTGGGCGGAGTTTAAACTAACCTGTAGGCTGTCAGGATGTTGAGGGGTGGTGGCTTGTCACAGCGTTGGTACATCTCCAGCGCTGGATTAGGGATGGAGCTCCGTGACACCACCTGCTGGTCCTGAATGGTACTGCTTCTAAAAGCTTTCCGCATATTGATGTCCTGCAGCGAGACTGGAAGCACACGGAAGAGATACAGAATCTATAAACAGGTGGAGGCGCTGGATGGTCACATGATCTGAGAGCAGTGATTCTCACCAACCTTCCTCCACGGTGGAATCCAGCTGAGTGACCTTCACAGCCAGCAGGTCCACTCTCTCCTGCAGGCTGTTCATTCTCAGGTAGAAGCTGTTAGCCTCCGTGAACAGCTCGCCAAAAATGTCCTCCGCATGGCGACCTGCATGCCATCATCAGGAAGTAAGAGATGTTATTACTACGCCGTGGACCGAGTAAACTCACACAGACTTCCATCCACAGAAAACGACCCTAAAGGTCAATTCTAACGAGCGACCAGGAGCTGTTCCTGCACCCATGCTCCCGTTAAGCAGAGCCACTCATAATGATTACGGCTTTGATTTTAATCTGATTTTATGAAGTTGAGCTCAGTTTTCTGGGAACACAAACATTCACCACGAGCTTCTGTCAGTGACAGGATGAATGTGTACACCTGCACAGAGGTAACGCTCACACACAACTGACAGTCAAGGTTTTGAGAGGTGTTTGTGTGTGTTTGGACTCCCACACCTGGGCTGTAGGCGGAGCTTCACTCCACGTATTTTTAGCATGTGATGAGAGCGATTCCTGCTTCAGTATGACCACAAAAATAAACTTCCTGTTTTATTCAGTCAGACTGAGACCAGAGGAGTCCTCTCCTACTGGGTCTCAGAGATCTACTGCCATCTTTATTTACAGTCTGTGATACTGGGTTCTCTGTTTTTACCTGGCTGCACTAAGCTGATTGGTTAGCTGTGGCTTAGGTTACTAACAGAAGCAAAATGAACAGAAAAGGTTTGAGCATGGAGGGTGTCTCACTGCAGGAATGATCTCATCACATGATTTGCATTGAATAAACTTTATTAAACTGTAAATGCAAAGTGCATGGAGGTTAGCTGAAGCATCGGAAACCTTCAGCTCGTCCCCTCATCGAGAACCAGAGTTACAACGATAACCGAAACTTACTGAGTCCTCCCAGCTGTTTGATGACCGCAGCCAGCGTGCTGTTGGTGACGCACTCCAGCTCACTGGCGACCCCATCAGGCAGAGAGCCGCGGCACAGGTACCGAGGCTCGATGATTCGCTTCACCAGCGGCATGGCTCACCTGGAGACAGAGAGACGGATCACTTCCTGTTTCTCTCTCATTTAAACGCTGACGCTCCTTTGAAAAACTAGTTCATGCATTTATTACTTCCAGGCTGGACGACTGTAATTCATTATTATCTGGAAGTCCTAAAAACTCCCTGAAAAGTATGGAAGCCCGTTTCCGCCACTAAAAAAAAAAAAAGGATCCATAACTCAAAATTTCGAGTTATTTTTATCTCGAAATTTCGAGTTATTTTTATCTCGAAATTTCGAGTTATTTTCTCGAAATTTCGACATATTAACTCAAAATTTTGAGAAAAGCAACTCGAAATTTCGAGTTATTTTCTCGAAATTTCGACATATTAACTCAAAATTTTGAGAAAAGCAACTCGAAATTTCGAGTTAGCGCTGCCAATCAGTAATCTACGTGAATGACGTCATTTCCATGTTACCCGGAAGCTGAAGCCCTCAGCTACA